CTCTTCTTCGCTTCTGTGATGATTCCCCTTTCGCTCCACTCCTTTCTCTCAATTAAAATTCTCCTCCTCGGTAGAAATTCATCGTACAAATCTTCGTACAAAAACTGTTTGACATTTTTCTTTCCATCTTCTTCCCTTTCACCTCAATCTCCTCGCGTATTTCTATTCCAAAATAGAATCGCAAAAATATATACTTCGTTCTTCCTCCTCCTCCTCTTTTTCTTCTTCTTCTTCTTCTGCTTCTCTTCCTCCGATTCTAATCGATCCAGATCAGTCTTACGTGTTTATTGTCGAGGTTGCAGTTAATCTCTGGTCTCCTCATTATTGTCGTTTTTTTTCTCTCCCTAGAATTCGTGTCGCGTGCGCATCTGGGTCACCGGTACCAGCCCCCCTTCCGTCGTCTCCTCCCTTCAGCTTTTCCTCTCTTTAGAAGATTTTCCTCCTGTCTGAAAAGCATCCACGGTTTTTTTTATAATGGATCCGCACGATCCGGATCAAACGAATCACGTGGAATCACGAACGAGCCAACGGGTCGCGCCGCATCGGGGGAAAAAAATAGATCGAGATTAGGTAATTGGAACGTGGTGTCGTCGAGACGACTCTTTTGCAAAAAAGAAAGAAAGAAAGAAAGAAAGAAAGAAAGAAAGCAGTGGCCTCGGTCAGGCACGATGGCGTGATCACGACTCGAAGAAGAATCAGGAATCAGACGTGACTGGAAGATTTTCGAGGGAAAGCTCTTGGAAAAGAGCTGTTTCGAACGGAATTAATTCGACAGAGTACTTCGAACTTCTAGCCTAGTTAACGCGCGGATAGAGTCTACTAGAGATGATATATCCCGCTCCTTGTTACAATGGAAAGTTTGGAAACCGTACACCAGTATTTACTGGAAGTAAAATTAATTTATGATGAAACCGATCGAACTTTCGATCTCCTCATGGATAGTTTCTGGGTTTAAAGAATTTACACGAAAATTTGGAAACCAAAACTAGATAGAGATCAACTGAGAGGAAATCTCTTGTTGGATACGTGTGATGATTTTTGTGTCGTTTTCTCAGTAAATATTCTCAAGGAAACACAATGAGAATCTAATATTTTATTATCGATTTTGTCGATATATATATATTATCTGTTTGATAATATAGAATAAATATCGAATTCGAATTTTTATTTAATTTTACACATGAATGAGATAACTGGTTCTTTCATTAATCCTTTTAAACTCCATCATTCAAAAAAAAAAGAAAGACGAATACGTTTCACACGTTTGGAAAATATCTGTTCAACATCTTCCTGAAAACTCTCTCGATCTGACCTTCCATGCTCGCTGCGCGAGAGAATGTGCCCCTTTCTGCCAAGTCGATCCTTATTCAGCGAGCCTATCTCCGATGGCGCGAATTCCAAGACGATCGTCTCGAGAAAAAAAATAATTTTAGAGCTCTCGTGTTTCGAGATCCACTGATCCACCCCATTTTTGCGAAGAATCGGCTCGAACTCCTGCAACCCCTACAATTTTATTCCACGAATCCATTTCCACGAGATTTTAAAAGAAGGCTTCGTTTCATTTTGTATAATTTTTTTTTAACTTTGTTCAATTTCTGAGAGATTTTTCCACTCAGAAAGTGGAGGTCTGGAGAGATGAAATCGAGCAGAAATTCAGAAATAAGTTTGAAAAAAATCGTGAGAGAACTATACTCCGAGCATTTTTCTGCTTCTCTAACGATGCTCGAACGAATACGATACCTTTCTTGTTCCTTGTGGAGATCGTTCACCTGAAAAGAAACTCATCGTGGCTTTCGTCACGATGACACCTATTAGGAAAATATTATCTCAGAGTGATTGGGAAACGGCGACGAGCGTAATCGGTTATTGAAAACGGACGATCGGCGCGCGAATGTAGGGGGCAATGCTCGGTTGGGTAAACGAGAAAATACGAGGACTTTGCATATGAAAAGGCGAATTCGAAAGTGTGACGCGTTCGCGCACGGATGGAAACACGGATCTACCTTTAAAAACAGGGAGAAAAAGGCATTTAACGATGGATGTTACTTTGCACGTTGACTTTGCACGGATAATTGTACTTTGTTAGGCTTGGAACGTTAGAAGGATGCGTTTCTGTGACTGCGGGGAAAAATTTTCAATGTCATTTGGCTCCTTTCAGTCTGGCCAGGGGAGGAGGCCCTACCCTTTTCAAAAGGTAGTTCCCCGATTTTACGATGAGATTTAGCTTTCAGATGTTGGTGAAAAGCTCGCCTTTATGTTCGAATTTCTAACGAAGCGAACTCTCTGAATGGAAATTCCATGGTAATATGGTAATTTTCTTTGATCCGTTTGCTGAATATCTTATACCGATACGCAATAGCTCGGAATTATCAACTTTGACCTTTGGATCGATATTGCCATTTTTCTTCTTTTTTTTTCAATTCATTGTAGTTTTATCGATCGCCACACGCATAGTGAAATGAAGGAATATTTGTAGAACAATCGAGGAGAAAAATTGTTGTAAAGCAACGAAATTTGCATAGTAAAATTTAGAATGAATAAAAGCTTCGATATTATTATTGTATTATTAATGTATCTTTAAAATCAAGATTATCTATGGATTTTTTTCTCACGATTATTAAAAAATATATAAATGTTAGAAAAATTAATTTCTATTCAAGTAAAAACGTAATTATACGCATCCAATCATTTTCATAAGCAATATTTTAACTTTAATCATTCGTGTGTAACATTTTTACGTAAAAGTAATAATTTTAATTAAATTTTCGAAACCAATAATGCAACAAAATAAAAATTCATATGTATTCTAAAATTGATACGTAATAATATAATTACGAAAATAGATTTCATATATTATATCACCATCTTTTCTCTTTATAACAGAATAACATTAATTCAAGAAATAAGAGAGCTCGATTGGTCTACAAAATTTCTCTAGCAATACTCCAAAAGAAAAAAAAAAACTACTCTAATAAAAGATACGAAACTGTCCCTTCTTTTCTCATTCGACTAATCGACTCGACACCGTTTTAAAAAATAAAAGATTGGCCTGAAAATTTCTACATCGAAGAAGAAGACCACCTACGATCGACGAGGATGGTACCTAGAAATCGAAACGGAAATCGTGGAACCGCAACGTTCGCGAGCTTATCGCGCGAGACGAGCAATAACAGCCGGCCGCCAACACGGTGTGCAAAGAATAAATAGCTTGCACGCGAAACGTCACTTTTATGGGCCGGAGCTTTTAGTCCCCCCTGTAAAAACGTCGCAGTCCATTAGTACCCGGGACGATACGAACCGTCACCGTGGCTC